ATACGATTTTATTAGTGATTTGAAACGTTTTCCTACCCTAGAAACGTAAAATCGTACGATTTTACGCTTTAAAGCGCGATTTTGACTGCACTGGATGTGTCCGACAATATAATTGGGCGCAACCGATTCCTCTCCCACCAGCGGACGTACATAAGTCACTCCACAAGTACAACAAGGATCTGCGGGGTACAATCAGTGATTGGCCAACCAAGCACCATAGATAGATTGAAATGTGGGAGTCTCGTCATACGTATGCAATTGATGGGATCCCAATGACGAGGCCAATGGGGTACCAAGATGAATACATGATTTGGTACCGCAAGTTCACAAAAAGATGGGTAACCAAACGTGGTGCCGTGATGGGTTCGTTGGTAAGCACAATATCTATTTACTATATCACTTTAGCTACACAAAGAGTGTTTGACTAACATGTTTATTATTTAGGTTGATGGGTTGGAACCAAGCACCATAGATGGATTGAAATCTGCCCTTGTATTTTCCGGTCAGAAAGGTGCCATCAACTTGGATTATTGGCAGACAATGGGTGAAACCATCAATGCATGGTTTGAATGCCCAAAATAGTCGCTTAAACACGCGTTTAGCACCCCCATAGAAATCTTCGTAACTAGGCACAAAAACAGACCCAGGATTCTTGTCCACCATTGCAAGAATCAAACGAGGCATATTAGCAAATGACTCTTCCCAATCGCCATACACCTCTGCCATAACTTTTTGCTTCCCATGCCATGCTTTCTTGTAACCGATGGTATAGCCATGTCGATTCTTCACTTCAGCGATGACACTCTTCACGGTGATCCCAGGTTGTGCCTCAATCAGATGTTTGATTGTTTGTGCAACCTTCCTTCCACTCAATTGTCGGTGATCTAGAGAAATCAGTGACGACCTACAAGTGTGGTTGTTGTCTGTCTTACGAATGAGCCAAGCCCCATTTCTTTTAACATATGCTGCCCGAACATGCCACATGCATCCGTCGCCATGGTTCTCGCAACGAACATGAATTTGTTTAGTGTCAGAAGTGATGACACGATATTGAAAGCTTCTTCGCATAGCAGTTTCTTTCAATGCATCGACCACCTGAGGCTTTCCTCCAAATGTTTGGCCAACCACGAATCCAGAATCAGGAGTCCAGATAGGTGTAGGAGAGAGGTCAGGATCGTCGTTGTGAGCATAGAGAGGATGTTGTGGCACCATCGTGTAGTGAGGTGTGGGGGGCTCAAATTCCCCCTCATCAACTTCCATATCTTCACCATCTGAACTACTCATTGATTCTAACTCTTCATCTTCCACGTGCTTGCCTCGCTAGTGTATGGAGGACTTGGTTTATCCACATACGGATCATTGTTGATGCCAGATGCTAGTGTAGATGCTTGTCTGGGTGCCCTTATGTAATCCCATTCTTCACCCCATACTGGCCACTCCTGTCCGTCATGTTCCACCAATGGACCAGTTGCAGTTCGATCCTCGTATGTTGGCCATGGTGCATCATGCCGAACTCTAAAATCTCCTGAACCGGAAAACTCTCCCGATCCTTCACCTTGTTCGGTATAACTGCCCCCACCATATTGGCCAACAACTTCTGTCTCGACATACACCTCAGCAGTTGGAAATCTGTTCTCTGCAATAAATCTCACCATCATATTAACGTCATCATCGTCAGACAAAACTGATCCTTCATATACAAGTGCATAATCCTTGTAAACCGGCATACGGTAAGTCATCTTGCATACTCTTCGCCCTCCTATGCAACATCGTTCCGCACAAATATGGCTGAGTTCTTGCCAAGTAAATATGCTCTCAATCCGGACAGTACTAGATTCACCATCTTCGTAGTCAATACTATCATGAAAATGTGTAATTCGACCATTCCAACGAATCAATAAGTCGAATTTTCGAAATTTTCTACCCATTTCTGCAGTTTATAGAAGCAGCTCATTACATACAGTACAAACAATTCTAAATTAATCCAAAATTCTAATATGCTCATTCAAACAACGTAAGCAGAACTTACCTCCAAAAAATTTCTTCTTTGCTCAGCTATGGTGCTCCAGCTGCTGCAGTTTGTGTTTGGAAGAAAGAAGATAGAAAGTAAAAGAGCTGCCAGAATGTGCGAAGTGATGGCTTTTTATCCTCGTAAACTGATGCAGTGGTTCGAGTCCAAAAAACTCGAACTACGGTAGTTCGAGTCCATTAAACTCGATCTATGGCAACCAATAATTTTACCCCCTGCACCCTATTCTGGAGCATGTCGGACCGAAAGCGACTGGACAAAATGATTGAGCAGTGGTTCGAGTTTAGAATAATCGAACAACACTAGTTCGAGTCCCTAGAACTCGATCTATGCCAACAAAGAATCTTATCACTGCAACCCTATCCTGACACTTCGGTTGACCAGTGGTTCGAGGCTATAGGAATCGATCTATATGGTTCGTGTTTTAATGCATCGATCTAATGCAGATATGGATCGAGAAATTTAAAGTCGTTTTACTAGATCGAGTTTATTGGCATCGATCATATTGGATCGAGTTTCCCAAACTCGAACAAGTTTGATCGAGTTTTCCAAACTCGATCTTCTATGATCGAGTTGTCCAAACTCGAACTACTTTTGATCGAGGTTTAAGAACGTGATGTAGCTGCAATTCGAGTTTTTAATCGTAGAACTGTTTTGTTGTTCGAGTTTATGGAACTCGAACCCCTTGAAACTTGGATATTTTGGAAAAATTTTATAAAAGTTATGTATTATGGAAATTATGTTTAATTTTGACTGTATTCTGGGAATTCTTCCGTAAAAGAATTGATAGAATTGATCTAGCAAGAAACATCATAATAGTAGTAGCAATATAAGGGTTCAGGCATAAATGGAAGTGGCACTATTTCTGGGAAGTTATAATTATTTAACCCCAAAATACATCTCTAGGCTCATATTTGTCTGATAGAATCGTTTTGTTTTACGTGCTACATTGCCCCTTTTTAAGAATTTGAACGAGAAGACGGAACCAACCAAAGAACCAATTCCAAGTTACATAGTGATAAAATTACACACAGAGATCTCAAAATATGGAGACAGCAACCAATCCTTCAAATCCCACCCTAAACTCAGATATCGCTCAGGCCACAGACTGCACATAATAATCCAGTAACGCCCTCGGCTGGCTGGCTTCTTCATCTGTTTGAGTGTTTCTACTCCCCTTCGCTTAGGATTGGGACGATCAGCGGTTTCATCTGTGCAAGATATACAATAGCCCACCTGCTCACAACAGAGATATCAGTACGGCGCGATTGATTACGCATGAGTTGAGCCGAAAAAATAATAACAGGATAAGCAAATTTTAGGAAGAAAACTAACAATTGTCATTAACCATGATAAAATCATGACCCCCAACCAATTTAGCACAAAGTTGTTCACTGGCATTCCCAATACTGCTAAGTAATCAAATACAACTGCCTTTTATAACAAAGACAGTTTCCTACGAGTTCCTTGATTACAATTATTGAGAAGCTCATGTGGCGGCCATTAAAATTTGTGTGCCATAGAGCAGCTAGATCTTACTACTCACAAAGTCGATTTGCCCTTACTACCGAGATATTGACGAACCAGTAAATTTATGGACTGAGAAACCATTTTTCCATTTGGAAAGAGCAGCAGACAACAAGAACAACATATCTGCTGAAATTTGGTTTTCAGCTAACAATTTATCAGTGGGAACGGGGTACAGGTTTCAACACAAACTTGTATCCAGCTCTCTATGACGACAGCTTTAAGTGATTTTCCCCCATCTTTTCCAACAGTGTTTCATGGAGTTGTATAGGGTCTAAACATTGGTAGGTCACATGATTGCAAGAACCCGTTTAGGGTTTCTCCTCATTTGAGGAGAGGAGATAACAAACCAATTGTAATTCCCACATGTTTGCTCAGGCTTGTATCGATTAAAAGTGTATGGCCCAAGCAACACAACACAAATAACAGTCTGGATAGTGATTCGGCAATAGGGTTCTAGAATAAACTCTACTGTGTATCTAATTCTTAAAGATGGACACATGGACGAATCATTGTTCACAGACAAAGAAATGCAATTGAAATCAAATAAAATGAAGGAACAAAGTAGAATTAGAACTTACATCATCCAGCAGCTAACTGTTGCTGTTATTACCAATGTCAAATGCAATCTGGATCAGAAGACCAAGGTTAGCCATATTGAAGAATGATAACAATATGTTGACCAAAGAAACGATCAAGAGAATCCACTATATCATATGATCATTCGAGTAGTTACTCAATTTACCAGATAAAATATGAAAACAATGTAACAAAATTCCTAAGAGATTGCTAAAAGAATAGAGAAAGGTCAAGACACAAACATATATCTAACATGAAAAATTAAACAAGGGCCTATCATAAACCAGGGAATAAGCATTCATGCCAAGAGAAACACCCGCCTAGGACTCTGCATTGCTATAACTCAGGCAATAATACCATCTATTTGATAATCAGCTATCAAACAAGCATACAACCTAAAAGAACTGCAAAAGTGGAAACTGACTAAACATGTAAAACCAATCGTATTACAAGACTGCAACACCTTTCATGGTAGCACAACTTAACCTGACCAATAAATTAGCGGGACATGTGCAAAAGCTCCTGAAGGAAGCAAAACTGGCAAACACCGGCCATGTTTCACTGCTAATAGCAGAATAATGTGTCAAACTGGATTACACGAGGCAGTCGCTTGCTAGTCCCTAGGAACACAATAAGGGCATCCAACTAGAAGAAAACAAAAGCTTATTGATCCAGACTTAAAAATACTTGGCGCACCTAGAAGAATTACATGAGTCATAACACTGTTCAGTAAACATTTCCCCAATGGATCTAAATTCCAATGGCGCCTTACCAATATCCCAACACAACCACAATACTTGATCAATCAAGAAAACTACAGCGCAGGATCCACAATAATAACCCAAAGAATTCCCATCAATTTCCTCTATCGAACAAAATAGGACAAAATCACGTTTCCCCAGTCAGGCACACAATTTCTCAGGAAGAGAGAAAGTAATGCAGCAAATACTGGGAGATGAGAAGTGGAGCCAAGGGAGGAAGCATACAAATTGGTGGAGGGGCCTCTGTTACAGCAGATTCTGGTGCACAGCGATGCGATTATACCCACCACTACAAAAATCAGCGTAGTTACCAGAAAACCCATATCGATTTGGCTGTGAATTCGATCGCGATTTCTGAAAACGGACCACGATGAGTTGAGTTAGCTCAAAGCAGACAACTTTCGCGATCGCAACGGAAAATTTGGCTGAGAAAGCCAATCCCGTTTGGTTTGCCGAGGAAAGATGCAGGGGGCAAATAGGAACAAAAGCGAGAAAGCTGTACCTGAAATTGGCCAAACTGCTGCTGCTTGATCTGTTCGTTAACGTTTGGTTCTCCTCCTGTGGCAAGAACAAGATCCAAGTTTGCTCTTCTTCCTTCCAACGATTGTTCGACTTTGATTTCGGATGATAAGAAGCTTGGGCCTACAGATTACTCGATTATGTCAGACAAAAGCCCACCAGTAAGTTATTGATAGTAATCACGATCCAGACTGTTATTTGTGTTGTGTTGCTTGGGCCATACACTTTTAATCGATACAGGCCTGAGCAAACTAATATCCAAGTCTGCTAAGTATCTTGATATCTGGATCCTCTTTTGTGTTATCTGGATACTAATTACGTGCTGTTTGGATACTATTCTGTGTTGTCTAGATATTAGTTTGTAAATTTGGGATAATAGTTGATTCATGGTGGATATCAGTTACCAAATTTTGAATACTAGTCTGTGCTCTCTAGATACTTTAGTACTTGGATATTATTTCATGTCATTTGGATATCAGTTAGTATCTACTAACGAATGTTCAAGTTAGCAGATTAACTTTTCCCAATTCAGAAAACTTATAAGATTGTGGGATGGTTTGGAGTTCGGAAAAGGATTTTTTTTCTTTTGGCGGAGAACGCTTAAACTTTGAAACCGCGGGTTGTCAATCCATGTCACCCTCGAAATGGATTTGAGAGATGAAAGATTGATGATGAATCTTTGATAATAGGATGTGCATGTAGTAAGCGAGAAAGTGTGAGCAAGTTGGACGAATGACGTACAGTAAAGTGTAACTGATATTCTATGTTCATTTTCCACCATCTTCCAGTGAAATTTATTGGTCACGTTAGATATTCTATCATAGTTGTGTCATCTTGTGACAAGATGGTGATCAACAATTCGGTTAGTTCAGAAAACTTACAAGGTTGTAGGATGGTTTGGTTTGGAGCTTGGATATGAAATTTTTTCTTATCACAGATAACCTTTAAACTTTGAGATTTTCGGTTGTCAATTCAGGTGAGTCTGGAAATGGATTTGAGAGATGAAAGATAGATCATGAATCTTGTAATGGGATGTACACGTAGGGATGACAATTTCGACTTGGCCCTTTTTACCCAACCTGTTTGTCCTGTTTTGGGACGGGGCGGACATGGGTACCTCTAATCGACCCGACTTGCTCTGACCCGCCTCATTCTCGACCCGTTCTTGCCTAAATTACATGTAATCTTAGTCAAATTACTTAGGAATTTTCTCTTATTACCTCACATTTAGCTATAATAAAGTTGTAAATAAGTGAAAATCTTAATTTTTCCAATAAGTTAACAACATTTTATCATATTAAGGTTTCTTTCTTAGTATTTTAATGAAAGTAATGAATATTTTTTATGTTTTTCACATAAATTACATATTCATTGGGTCGACCTGCCCCGCTCGCGCCTCATGATAAATTATCCGACCTGCACGGGGCAGATATGGGTATCGAGACATCTGTCCGGGACCTGCCCCATTGTCATTCCTCTGCATGTAGTAAGCGAGAAAGCGTGAACAAGTCGAACGGAGGACGTACAACAATGTGCGAATGATATTCCATACTCATCTGTTCATCATCTTCCACTGAAATTTATAGGTCGAGTTAGATTTTACAAGTCAACTTTGACATTACATCATACTCGTGTCATCTCGTGACAAGAAAGGACATTACATGTATCATGCTAGCTAATTTTTAATCGTTTTCACGAGGGAAAGTTTTGTTGGTCATGTTATACATAGAGTCATAGCCATGTCCATTTGGTGACAAGAAATGACATCCCTATGCACCATAGATGTGTCCATCTGGTGACAAGAAAGGGCACTCCAAAGTATCATGCTAGTTTGGTAGGCTTTGATTGTCATACTAGGTTACTTTCAGTTCTTTGACTTCCTATACGGTAACTGGTAAGAGTGCTCTATTGACAAGAATGGAGAAAACCAAAAGCGGCAGCAACAGATTTCCTGGCTACAAGTCTTTAGTACATCTGAGACAAAGACAATGATAACAATTCCTCATAAAATTACATAATCAAACATTCATCACAGTCTAGCAGCTCCTATTTCATAGTCCTGCCTTCCTAACATAGACAACACGGCTGTTCCTTCCATCATACTCTGGAAGAATAAAGGGTTACTTACTGCTACAAAACAGGTATCCAATTGATGGAATTGGTGATGAACAGAGAAGCAAGATGGGGACAGTGGCAGCAAATACAGCCGTATTGGATGATTAGATTAGATCATTGAACATACAACATCGACTTTCCCAGCAGCTCAGAGTTAAATGTGGAAGACCCAAAAAAAGAGAAGAAAAAAATTAATTATAAAAAATGTGAATCAAAAAGATGTAATGGATCATTAAAAGAAGCTGGATTGATTGGTCATTTCTCTTCTTCTCCGTATTTTCTTGGTAATTTTGCCATATTATGCTACCCTTTTTTTTTCCCTTCCAAGTGGGAGGGTTGTGTTGTGTGAGCACCACTTCCCAGATTTTCCCTTCTATCAGAATCTGAACTCGGGATCAACGTCCATTGCCCAGGCAAACTTTGCCAGAAGCGACTTGTTGAATATCTGCAGTAATGGCGAAGAAGCTTCATCACATTCTCATTCACACACACACGAAGGAAAAAATCCCAAGTTACACATGTTTTTAAAAAAAATTCTCAAAATACACAAGTTATGAAAATAATTCCCAATCTACGTTAGTTTGGGCCATCACCGCTGTCGACGAAGACAGTGATTGAATCACTGCTGTCGACGAAGACAGTGATTGCATCACCGCTGTCGACGAAGACAGTGATTGCATCACTGCTGTCGACGAAGACAGTGATTGCATCACTGCAGTACACGGCCGCCGTGAAGGCCTGACCTGCGTCGAAACTTTAAACAAACGTAACTTTGTGCTCGGTTATCCGATCGTAGAGAAATTTTTTTTGATTCCGCATAATTTTTCGAGATCTTGCAAGCCGCAAATTTCCGTAGGCGGTTTGGTCCCGCCTTCGTCTCGAAAATATGTCGTTTGCTACTTCGAACGAGCCTTTTTTCGATTTCGTCAAACTTTGAACGACCATAACTTTGTGCTCCACAATCCGAAAATCATGAATTTTTTTTTGATTTCGCATAAATTTTTAAGGACTACAATATTTAGTAGGAGAGAATTTTCAAAAAATGAATTATTTATGGATATAAGGGATTTTGGGAATAACTTTACCTTCCTTTTCAGGAATCCAAGTACATTCCGAAAATATGTCTATGATAAAAATTGTAGTCCTTAAAAACTTATGCGAAATAAAAAAAATCATGATTTTCGGATTGTGGAGCACAAAGTTATGGTCGTTCAAAGTTTGTCGAAATCGAAAAAAGGCTCGTTCGGGGTAGCAAACGACATATTTTCGAGACGAAGGCGGGACCAAACCGCCTACGGTAATTTGCGGCTTGCAAGATCTCGAAAAATTATGCGGAATCAAAAATTTTTTTGCTACGATCGGATAACCGAGCACAAAGTTACGTTTGTTTAAAGTTTCGACGCAGGTCAGTCCTTCACCGCGGCCGTGTACTGCAGTGATGCAATCACTGTCTTCGTCGACAGCGGTGATGCAATCACTGTCTTCGTCGACAGCGGTGATGCAATCACTGTCTTCGTCGACAACAGTGATGCAATCACTGTCTTCGTCGACAGCGGTGATGGCCCAAACTAACGTAGATTGGGAATTATTTTCATAACGTTTGTATTTTGAGAATTTTTTTTAAAAACATGTGTAACTTGGGATTTTTTCCCACACACGAAAGACTGTTGACCTTCAACCTTTCACTGTTAAGGGTCAGGGTCAGGTCAGGTTTAAGAATTTACCTTCTCGATGGGAACTTCATGCCTTTTGCACCAGGCGACTGTGATCCTAGGATCCAGGTAGTTGATCTTAGAGGTGCCGAGTGCCACTGTTTTCAGATCCTCCTTTGTCGTCATGTCCATTTCGTACTTCTCAATCTTTTGATTGGCGGATGCTATCTTTTTCTCTATGCTGCCACACACCAAAGTGTAAGTTAGCCCATCATAAAAACATCTCAACAAACAGTGAAGACAATCAATGGATGACGGATAATTACGCTTCTGGACTCAAGTTCCTTTTTTGCTTTCCATCTGCACCCTTTAGAGGTGGCTTTCCCTTCTTGGCCCTCTCCAAATCAATTTTCAGCTCTTTGAGTTCTTGCTGCAAAGTCATCATTGTGAAATCAGCTGACCAAGACAGAAACAGGAGATAGAAACCAATGCTCACAACTAATGAATCCTCCATAACATATACAGGGTGTGTTGTCAAATGTCAGCCAAGAAGCTTAAATGTTTTTTTTTTGTCAGCTGGGTCTCCACAAGAATGAATTACCTTAGCAGTCTCAATCCTCTCAGTCAACCTCAAGATTTGGGAATCATGAGTCTTTGAGACTGTACGCTGATGATTACAGATGATTGCAACCTGCAGGAAGATAGAGGAATTACAGAAAAACAATTGGGATAACTGAAAACAACTACAGATGATTCCAAACTCCATTACCTGCTTGTTTGCTTTTTGATAAACAACAACCTTCTCTGCAACATCGCCCTCTTCTGTTTCCTCGTACAACTGCCAAGCGATTAGAATACCCAGGGAAAAAATCAAATCAGTGATTGTATAAAAACATCTGATGTAGTTGGAAAAACTTCATCAGTGCAGAATTATATCTTTGAGAATGCCATAAGATATGCATAACAATAACCACTAAGCTACAGTAATCAATGTCCAAAACCAGCCCAATAGCATAAGCTGCTGTCGCAACAATCAAAATAGTAATAGAGGCTCAAGAGATCTATAAATAAGATACTACATAATTTGTAATGCAACTTACTTGTTGATCCAATGTTATTGAAGCATTATAGGTACGGAAAACTTTCGCTGTAAGCCCAGGCATGAGTTCCTTCAAGTGGGCATTCAGTTTACTTGTATCCAACGCGTTAAAAAGGAGCTCATTTTCCCCTTTTCCTGAGGTTAAGGAATGAGAAATGTCATTAACACAAAATGATATTCCCTTCAAAAAAAAAATTATTCCATTTAATTAGAGTTAAACTGGACAACTACATTCTTACCAGCTTGGAACTGCCCAATTGCTTTGAACACAGGAAGCTCAACTTCAACCGTGTTCTCATAACGAATTGAATCTTTACCAAGAAAGTCAAACTACGTAAGAAGATAGAACAAAACCCATGTCAGGATTACTACTAGCGAAAAAGGGGCACATGAAATTGACATCACATAGTGGGGATCACGCAAACATAAAACAAAACAAATCATTTGCAGGAAATCGGATTTGCTGCGTGCTTGGAATACTGAAAAGATATGACCTTGGCTTCTCGCACGGATAGGGAAAAGAATATCATTTATTGTTTTATTTTCTATTTTTTGCGTAGATTCGTGCATTTCTTTCAACTCAGCTCAGCTCAAAAATCAAAATATAAAGCATAGCAATAAACTCTTATATTAACTGCCACACCTTTATCATGTTGGGAGGGATGCACTCCACGTTCGATACTTTTAATGTGCAGCAACCAACAGTATCAGCTTCTTCCTCATCCTGCAGAAAATCAGTCATTGGGCATAAAGTCACTCTAAATTTCCAACAGAGATGGTATTTAAAAGCTATCAAGGTAAAGGACAGATCAAGGTACTACAATATCGGAGCACCCAACTAAACGATACAGCAGCAGGACATCATTCTTAAAGGTGACGTGCAGAAACAAAAGGCGGTAATATTAGGGAACAAGATAATAAAGGAAAGGCAACTCCCAGGGCACTTATTCAGCCAAGAGTACAAAGAAGATCAAAGTACACAGCCACGGGTCATTGAACAGTAATCTGATTTATCACTCTAGACTCTAAGCATGAGATAGTCAGGATTCACATGGCCATTTGTAGCATCTGTATGGTAATTGCAGCCTTTTTAAGGGCCACATTGAAACCCTCGTCGCAAAATCATCAATCTTCCCATAACATGCATTTAGGCTGATGAATGGCAGCAGAAACAAAGCAAGTAGCATTTGTGTAGATTGGTCACATTACACACCGTAACTGATGGCTTATTTAGATTCCAGAACCTGTACCTGGTATAAAGGAAATTAAGGGGGAAAACAAAGAAAGAAAGAGATGAGGATGTTTAGAAAGAAAGAACTCAATTTACCTTCTCATTACCCGCCCTTAGAGCTAGCTTATCAATAAGATATGTAGCAACTGCTATTTGCCGTTTTGTAGGATCCTTGTCCTTGTTATTGAAATCCTTTGTGTAAGCTGCCCTGATGTTGTGTATGTAGTCCTGCAACAAGATATCGCAAAGACTCATTGCTTCACATAACTTACGATTGTAAGAAGCAAACAAGTGAATAATATATGATGATTATGACCACACCTTCAGCATCCTAGCTTTTTCATATTTCTCCTTGTCACTTTGTCCTTTTAATGAACTGCTGGCTGCCAAGAACACATACTTGAATTCTTTGGGGTTGATAGGATCATTCCAGAAAGCCAACCACGTAACTGTGCTATCATGTTTTATCTCTTTCCAGCTGCCAGTTATAAGTTAACAAAATGAGCTCATACTTCAGCACAAACTGCAAAGTGTGAACATGCCCATCCAACCCACAAGAAAACCCAGCTTGTAAAAAACTATAAGAGAAGCAAACCTTTCACCAGCAATTGGACATTCTGGAACAGGAGCATCCTTCCCTATGTTTATGGTGATATCTCTAGGACGAATCCGTCTCTTCAGCTTTCCCATCTGACAATTCCAACATGGATTTGAAATAAATATACATTTACAACAACAGAAATATAGTAATGTCACTCCGAATCTAAATTCAATTTATAGGTATCAACAAATAACCTTCGGATGTTCTCCACGTCCTCGAAACAACCCAGGGGGCTCAACTCTAAAGTTCCCAACCTGTTATTCCGCAATCATCAGAATCATGGAGTAAATGGAGGAATTGGAAAACACATATTAAGACACCAGCAACTAAGTTTGCGAGAAAATTTTACTTTTTCCTTAACGCCATCCACTATAGCCCACATATACTTCTCTTCTTGCTGCATTTTTTGTTCTTTGATTGCCTTCTTCTCCTATACAAACAGCAAAACTTTTCAGCATTTCTGGTAACACAAAGGAAAGTCTTAACATTATTCAAAGGACCTGGCAGAAGTGGGCTACTGAAGTTAAAACTAAACATCAAAATGACCATAACGTAAGACGAAAAGCAACTCAATGTCCTAGAAGAAAGCTAGATTCCTATGCAAGAACTAAAGGAAATCACAATTCCGTGTCTCATTGACATTGAGGAAAAGTGAAGTTGGGTACTTCACATGATGAATTAACAACCCACTAAAATCCCTGCTTGTTTGTGGAAAGCAGCAAGCAGAGGAAAACTAAAATGGGCCCTACAAATTTGGTTCTGAATGAACTAAAAGGAAGAAGATTTCTCATCCCACACACCATAATTAGAATGCTAGAAATCTCGATGTCAGAATGTCCATGTGCTTCAGATGATTCTGTAACTATAGATAGAATGTTTGAAAACCAAACAACTTACTTCTGTACTCATTTGTTTCTTCTTCTCTTTCTCCTGCTGATGCCATTCATATATTGGTGTAAAATCACAATCATCCAACTTCTGTATTACATGATTCCTCCCGAGTATCCTGCGCCAATCATTCCAGAAATTCTCGAGGAACTTTGGCTTTTGCATATAGTCAGTATCTTTCATCACGGCATACATAGTGGCAACCTGCACATATGAAAGTTCAATGTGAAACTAAAAGTACACACTCTATAAATTAAGGCAACAGCTCAAAATTTATACCGAGATGTAGACATAAAGTGAGAGGCACCTCTTCTTGTTCGGGAGTCAAATCAATTGGCTTCCCCTTGTACAGTATCTTAATCCCATGAGGCTGGTATGGAGGAGGAAAAATTACACCATTGTGAACCAAGGTAGTCCATTTTCTCTGGCCATCAGTAGAGCCAGGTTGGACTTTTGTTGACTTGGAAAACTTGGACTTTTTCATTTGTTTTGTGTTCTTCATGTTGGCCTTCTTGAAAGAAGAAGAGACCACTTTTGTTGCTTTTGTGTTTGCAGACGATGGTTTTCTTGCAGACACTGTTGCCTTCTTGATCCTCTGGGAGATTGGGATATCATCATCATCATCAGCCTTCTCCTCTGCTTTAACTGCTGCAGGTTTGGCTTTTGTGGTGGAAGATGGAACAGAAAGCTTTTGCTTTTTAGCAGAGGATTGATCCGAAGAATTGCTCTTCTCCATAGGTCTCTTGTTTGGCACAACAGGAGTTTTCATCTTGTTCGTATTAGAAGTTGAGCTGCCATTCTGCTGAAGTTTTGAGGCTAGAGGTTTCTTTTCACTCAAATGATTAGGTTTAGTTGACATCCTTGAAGCCAAAGGGAGATCATCGTCATCATCATCAGAGTCCTCCTTTTTCACATGACTGGGACCACCAACTTCTTTCTTAACATTGTTGGCAGCTCCCTTCAATCTGGAACTCAAGGGCTTGTCATCCTCAGAATCCTCATCATCTACCTGGGACTTCTTCTCAGATTTGACAGACTTAATCTCGACCCTGACAGCAGAAGAAGCATTCTGCTTAGGCATTTGCTTAATCTCCGAGGACATAGGGGATTTAGAATTTGTTATAGGAGACCGCAATGGAGAAGCCTTCATAGAAGAAGTTGATGCTCTGGGGCTCCCTATGGGAGACTTAACCGGCGGTGGCTTGGAAGAAGCAACTGGAGCTTTATTCCTCTGGCCATTTGAGCTTTGGCCATTGACATTGTGAGATGAAGATGGCGTCCTCTTAGCTTCAGCATTCGACTGGCTTTGCCTAGATGCTGATTTCCCACCCCTTCTAAAAACTAAAGGGGCATCATCATCATCCATATCATCCATGACAGGCCTCGCAGGTGCTTGAACAGCCATCACCATCCAAATTCGAGCTGTATTTGTACAGATACTACATCAATACCCGATAAAAGTTCAAAACTCAAAACCATAGCCAAGAATTCACAACTAACATTCACCATATTAAATCCATTTAACTTGACCCACAAAGTCTGACACTTTAACTATGCCCACAACAAGCAAAACTAACAAATTGCAGATTGAGAACTGCAAATGAAACAGTTGAGCTAAAGCTAAAAGGAAGGGCAGGAGGCAGCACAAATTGGAATCCGAAATAGGGCTCCTACTATGACCCGATTCAGTAAACAAAATGGAAGGGCGCGGCATTCAAAATTGAAGCCGCCACAAAGCGAACGAGAAACTTGTGCATGCTCTACTGATAGATGACGTTAAGAATCAGTGAGAAGGGAGCTGGAGAGAAATTCAAAGCTGGAGAGGCAATATCAGCTTCAAGCAAGCAACCATGGGGCAGGAGAATGAAGTAGATAAACGGAAGACGCGAAATAGGGATTGACATTGAGGAAGGAAACCAGGATAAGTTCAAATAAACTAGTAGGGCGAGGAGGAGGAGGAGGAGAAGAAGAAGCATAAATTTTGATTGGGTATAGAGGGGAAGGAGTGGGCAGGGAAGAGAAGCAGGAAAACGGACCTCAGGCGTCGGCGAAAATGGAGGGCGGCGGCGGAGGCGGTGACGGAGCAGATCGACTTCTTTTTTAGTTACGTTTTTTGTGTAATTGTTAAATTTTCTTACTTTTTTCTTCTTCTGGGTTCTGTTTCTGTATCCCCTCTCTCTCTCTCTCTCTCTCTCTCTCTCTCTCCTGATTCTCCCTCGCTCTGGCCCTTTTATGGATGTTCGAAGGCTCCGTTTTGAGTTGGATTTTGCAGGTTTTAATTTATTATTATTTTCATATTTATTTGTCTTTCTTCTTCCACGAGGGAGATGGGTCATGGACTCATGGGCTCATGGCCTCTCATGGGATGGAATCTGGAAGCCCATTTAGCCAAGCAACCGATAAAGCAAGCAAAACCCAGAGCCAGACCAGCCTAGTATTGCTTCTTGCCAGTTCCTATCACAACTGGGCCTTTTACTCATGGGCTCTCTTTCTCGGGCCTCTATGCCTTTATGGGTTTGGACTTTGGAATCCTAAAACGAGGATGAGGACTTAGTACCAACGTCTGAAACTAGGGGTGGCAGTTCGGTTACAACTGGTAATCGATCGGCCGTTTATCGGTTAGCCGAAATAACCACTTTCCTATCGAAAATTGCTTGAAATAAGCTTCGGTTTCTCGGTTATCTCAGTTATCGGTTAATCGAGCCACTTTTAATACCAAAAACAATTTCGTCCAGCTTTCGATAACCGACCAAAATTCGGTTACTTCGGTTATCGGTTTAATCAGTCGGTTAACCGATAATCGGTAACCGAACTGCCACCCCTACCTGAAACCGTAAAGGAGATTGTATCGAAAAAGTTAATGATACGATATTTTATGTTGAAATCGTTGTTTAATCATGGTTTAAACGTTTCACTGGCGGATTCAGGGGGTGGCCACCCCGGGCCCCGGCCCAGCCCTCTTCAGGATCCGTAGTTAGTATAATCCTTATGAAATTTTCGATTTTAGACATTCGACCCAGTGTTATTTTATGATATGATTGGGTTTAACTAGAAAAATTATCAAGTTGAACATATTCAAACCACTACTCTAAATTTAGCCTAGAAATTTTAGCCCCAAAGATTATGCATCTACAAAAACCAGAAACCTAAAATTCTAAAAAATTTAAAACGTAAAAGACTAAAAGAAATATGAGATTTGTTCCCTTGAAAATTTACTAGAGCAACTAGTGTGCAGGGATGGACACACAATGCAAATTGATTAGTCGATTGATTTATCTAGTGTTGATGTTACTCGTTTCAACAGCTACTATGAAGAGAACCTTTTCAACAATGAAACATGTGAGAATTGATTTGCCCAACAAAATGAGCAATGAATTTCTCGCCAATTGCTCAAGTATTTTATTTGAAACCGTGTATACTATTGGTATGGATGTAGACTCCTTGATGCATTCTCTAAATTAAAATACAGTCGTTTACAATTTACATTGCAAAACCTATAATCATTATATTTTATTTACGGTTCTAATTTTCTAATGAAATGCGGCCCAGTGCTCTTCTGTGTTCTGGATCCGCCGCTGAAACGTTTTATACCGCTAAATGAGAACCTCACTTTATAATTAAGTGAGAACCTCAATTCTCTAATAATTCAGCTTCATTGATCATAGGGGACGACAATTAACCACCCATGTGTAGTTTTTCACAAAATCCAAGTAAATATATTGATTATGGATAGAGTAAGAGTGAAGTATACATGAGTTTGGAGTTTTGTAGATGAGTTTTGGTAGATATGAGTATTTCTTCCATATGCTAACATTTCCATTTTTCTTTCATTTTCATTTCCTGTGGTTGTGGCAACAGAAAACAGATCATAAGTTGAAATGAATTATTGATTCATTTGGTTACAAATGGGGTATACGGTGAAAATTTTGTCGAATAAAAATAGAAAAACTACATAAAAGAGAAATATTAAAATAAAAATATTAAAAATAATTGTGAGTAGGATACAAAATTATCCATCTTAGTGATAAGAATAAAATTATTTTTTGTTGAAAATATGAGAACACAAATGTTGAAAACTAGTAGAAACAGTAGGAAGCTACCAATTTCTATATCCATAGTCGAAAACGAACATAAAACAAAATGAAAAATAAGCATGTTTTTTTTCTTTCTGTTTCATTACCGTATTCCTGAAATGAAAACAAAAAATGGAAATGAAAGTGAACATGCCTGAATAACGAATCAATATCAAAATTTACACTCCTATTGTTGTTAGGCCACAACCGGCTCACAATAAATTAAAAATGGGAATGGCAAACTCTCCAGCAAAAGCACGAACAAGCATGTAAGAGGTCAAGTGATCCACCATCTTCTTTCGCTTGGTAGCTGGAAGGATGAAGATATCCAAGTGATCGATCTATCTTTGCATCCTCCAATGTTCTGCTTGGCATGGACACCCACGGCAAAATTGATGGAAGTTTGGAGTCCAGTCTGGAGTGTATCTTGGAGAACAGGGAATATGACAGATAATCACTGTGAACTTTCGGGTTAATTGTAAGGTTGGTCACTGGGTTTACTAAAAACGTTCATGTTTGGTTACTGCTAATATTTAATTGGCCAAATACACTTGTGTAGCCAAAACTTTGACGGTTTTGCCAAATATAGCCACTTTTGGGGAAATACCAATAATAGTCACTTCCGTCCAATTGTTTGACGGTGTTAGTTAACGTGCTGACTGGATTAACAGCAGCAATTGACATGGCATATTTTATTCGAAAATAATATTAGGTGGAAAATAAGCAAAATTTATATTTTTATTTTAATCAAATTAAATAAAAAAAATCATAAAAAAATAAAACCAAAAATATCTTCAGCACCGCCTTATCACCTCCCCTTCATCAATAATTCCCTGAACTCCAGAAACTTCCTCTTCTGCAACCCTCAAAATCTTCCCTAACCAAAATAAGAATCAATCCCTAAACTCATTAATCCCTACCCAGGTTCCGTCATCATACCACCACCACCATTTTAAACCTACCCAACTTCCGTCGTCGACACCACCACCATTTTGAAAGCTCTATTAGTGCTTCTCGCTCTCTCAACAACATCGCCATCGAGATCGGAGGTGGAAAATCGGACCAGGCAGAAGAGATCAGGGGAGATACTGGATTTGATTCTCGAAAAGTTGGGGGCAGGGAGTGGATTGGAGAAGATGAAGAAGGGGAGTAGGAGAGATCGGAGAAGATGAAGCATTTCCATTTTTGTGTTTATTTATATAATTATTAATAGGGTCACACTCGTATGCGTCAGACACATACTATGCGACAGGATTTCTACACCGTAGATCTAATCTAACGGTGTTTATTAATTGAAATTAAATTATTTAATTTTTACAACTTTTAAATGATTAGTTGGTCCTATTACTTTTTTATGCGTACCCTTTAACCCCTAAACAAACTTTTCAACATATTTTCGAATTATAGTACCAAATTTTATTCTAATCATGTCTCCAATCCATTAAGTTATATTTACTTACAATTTTAGTTTGGTGATTTATTCCTTTTGCGAGTCAACGCTCAAACCCCCTTTCCAATTGCTGTCTGTAGTGACTGACGAACCCTCTCCTCTCATCCTGGCTATCGATTGAAGCAATTGGATTTTGTGCTTCCCATCGATGTTTAATCCCTCTATGGATTAAGAGAGTGACCTGCTCGAGGCATCATGGATTGAATCTTGTGCTCGAGAGACGGATGAGGAAGGGATGATCGGAGAAGTGAAGAGGGCATACTCGAGAGGTGTGCCGAAGTGCGGATCGCCGATAGCGGTGGGGAGGTACGCTGCCGTTGATGGCCAACGAAAAGTGCGAATACCAACAGCAGCAGCCAGAGCAGACGAACGAGACTGGTGGCATAAACTTTGATAGGTATGAATAATGGGCCTTACTTGAAATTGCAGAAGTAGAAGTTGTACTAGGTAAAATTTGTCTTTGAAATTTTCTTTGGATGTTCATGGGATGTCTGATTTCATTGGTAGCAATAACACATTAAGATTCACTGTCTCCCTTTCCCCATGTGCAGATTGCAGAATTTTCTGAACCCTTTTTTATTGACTGGGTGATTTCTCAGCATGATCACATTTTGGGATGGACTGGTCGTTCTTTTGACCTTGAGGTTAGTCCGTAGTTGTGGTGTTTGAATGACTTTTTAACAACTGGAACTGTTGATGTGAAGAACTCACTCTTTGGAGAATGCTTGATATCTCTATAATGAACCATTATTGAAAGAACTGCCTTCTGCTTCTCAAGATTTAAAGAGATATTAGCATACATCATTCATCTAATAAAACCTTTTCTTTACAGTTTCTAATTAACCACTTACACAACTCTGAATAATGTGATGGCTTAATTTGTTGCTAGCTTTCAATCAAGTTTTTATTATTATCAATCTTGTATGTATTCTCTCATTCTGCCTTCTTTTTGTAGCACTGACCTCCCTGGTGTCTTTCTTTTCGAATGTCACTTGACAGGTGCCAGAGTAATCTTTTGGGATCTCAGAGAGAGATTCTTGTTTGGTTTTTACAAATTGGTGATGTTGGATCTTCTCGCTTGAGAAATTTCCTTACTCAAGCAGATAATGTAAGACTGTCAACTTCAGTGGAACCTCCTCTTTGTTTGTCTTGCTTGCTTCTCTTAGCTGAACTTGCACTATTTTTCCTGTTCTTGATGAGATATGCCGATTGATTGATGATAAATTCAGAGGCTCGGTGTTGTTAAGCGTTTGCCGAGCATCATTGGTAGGTCTTCAAATTCTCCTTTGTACTTTGAATTCGCAAACCTTCCATTATAGCTTGTATATAATCTGTACACATTATCTTGCTACAGCAGTGATATGTTTGGGTGTTGCTTAACTGAGGCCCCTCTTGTGCATTCTCTGATTCAGATGTTGTTATGATGGAAGAAGACTTCGATATCTTGAAGGTCTATCATTTCCTCTCTCTCTCTCTCTCTCTCTCTCTCCAATGCATATGTGATATGTGTAATTACGTCTGTGTTCAGGTCATCAATAGTGATGGCCGAATTTTTTTTTTGGTCAAGAAAGAAACAGTGCTAGGTTGGCTACTGATAAGTTCATTTTTATTCTTCAGGTGTTCTTTATAGCCAGTGGAGATGGCC